AAAATCCGGCCAGGCCAACCCAATACACCTGCTTGAAAGGGGCCGTGACAGGCAGGGAGTCACCGCCACCTGCGCACGGCAGGTCTCCAGCACCCTCTCCCCTCCGCGTAGTTTCTCCTCCATAAAGACAAACTGCAGCAAGTTGGCAGACCTAGTATCTATACATAAAATCAAGGCAAGCTAACAGAGTTGCACGTGTAGTGCACAGCAGTTAGTTAATGGGACCAGCGTGGCCAGTGCTGCGGTTGGTAGACAGTGTTGCTCCTTCAAATTCAGGATATTCTCGAACTTTGAGCTTTGCAACTGAAAGATAAAACTGAATAGGTTTTGTCAGTAAGTTTAGTAATCCAGGCTGGCAAAGCAGTTATCTTCAGAAATATGTTTTAAAAAATAGTCTTTAATGTATAATCATCTTAAATGGAGTACTCTTTTGCTGGAGTTGTGTTTGGGAGAATGAATGGGATAACATGTAATATGAGCCAGATGAAAAATAATATGATTAGATTTCTTCGCTGGGATGAAAACTTGACTGCTTGCACCAGAAGCCTGGAGACCCTAAAGTATTGCTGTAACAGGCTGTAACTTCATGCATGAGGTAAGAAAACAAGTACTGGTTTCACAGACTATTAGTATTTATGCCCTGAATATACTTTGAGAGTGTTTGAGGTGCTGTAGATCCAGTATCATAACAATTAATAGACCTAAACTCTGATGAGCTAAGGATTAAACTGTTTTAGAAGCCTGTTAGCAGGCTTTCAGCTAGCTAATGATAAAGTATTTGTGAGTTAAGTGGGAGGCTTATTTCCAGGAAGTTCTCATGAGTTTTCGGTGCAATACTTGAATCCACAAAAATCCATATAAAAACAGCCCCTAAAGCACAGAACTGAAAAGCAAGGACCTGAGATGACTTTCTAGCCCTGGTAGAGACTTCTTGTATGGTTCTGGAAAATCACCTAGCATCCTTCTGTGAGGCAGACCCTATAATAGTGTTGGCCTGCCTTGCCGAGGTGAAGGGGAGGCTGAGGAAAACAGTGACTGCAAAACAAGAATCTCCCATCAGATGTCAGAACAAATGGTTTGGTTTTGATGGAGGTAATCTCGAGTATAACTAATAACTGCTGATTTATAAATCAAGTTATGAAAGTTTAGTAAATGCATATTTCTTTAGTCAATGCTGCAGTGTGTTACTAGCTGGGAGTACTACATGGATTTACTTCATATCTGCATATTTTCCCCCTTAGATACGCAGCAGCAAGAAAAATGTTCAGTTTTTCAGATGTAGGTCAGTTCAAAGAAATACCTAAATGTTCAAAATTTTCTCTGACTCCCTTGATTCCACTAAATTGATTTGGAAATCTGTCAAACATAGTCTTTCTTCACTCTCAGCAATTGCTGAGCAACTTGTCATTCAACAATGTTACTGTCTGCTGGGATAGTTCTTCACCCAAGCCTGGGGAGTTATTTCTTGTCTGTTATAGCAAGTGACAAGTTTTGAATGACATCTACTCTAGTACCAGTAGTGGAATTTACATTGGAGATGAGAAGAACTGCTGCTTACAAAGAAAGAGAACTTGAAATTCACATGCTAAAGTCAGATCGGTGAGGCGTTCAGCTCAGTGGGAACAGTAACAACAGTCGGTGGGGTGAGATTTAAGTAAGGGGAAAGAAAACAAGGATGAATGAATCCATAGTTCTTTGAATGTGCTTTTCTTCACTCCATGTAGTCATTGGTAGAGGCACTGGGTTTGTGAACAGTTTTAGAATATGCCTGGGAGTGATCAGAGGTTGAATTTAGACCCTTTTTGGGACATACATGGATTCTAATGAATCCTTCCATACATTGCTGATACTAATAATGTTCACTGTCTTAAGTGATAAAGCTTGTTAACTCTCCCCATGGAAGCTTCTGAGGCACTGAACAGCAAGTGAAACACGCAGACGCATCCAACTATTAAGTCTCATTTTTCTGCACTAGAACTGGAGATAATTGCTTTTCTCTCTTTGTTTAGCACTTTCAGACCATGTTAAAGGCAAAGTTGAGTGTCCTAACTCTTCGGAAGGAGCCTCTCCCAACAGTGATCTTCCATGAACCAGAAGCCATTGAGCTGTGCACCACAACTCCCCTCATGAAGACCCGAACTCACACTGGATGCAAGGTACTCGCACACATAAACTTCAGGAATGGACCACTGTGAAGGTGTCCAGCATGCGTGTCAGGACTTTGAAGACCCCAAAGTAACCAACACTGAACATTGTTGTTGTTCTGGAAATTCCACTAACTGCTACTGTTACCATAGGTTTCTAAATCAAAAAAGTCATTGAGTGTTTCTGACCAGAAATTCTGGACTTCAGGAAAAAAGATTTGGGTTGTGGGCACATTGCGAATTGTGGCAGATCTCTGACAGCCCACAGTGGACACTGGTTACCGTTAACACTGCCATTGTTTCTTTAAGTGCTAGTGCTGAGATGGGAGACAGCAGTCTGTAGTAATAGAGGTATACAGCTACTGAAATAGGGTTGCAGCTTAAAACTCAAGGTTAGGTTTTCTTGGTTGTTACGTTTTGTGTTGCGGTTGTTTTTTGGTGTTTTTTGTGAGAGAGGAAAAAAGGAAAAAAGGGATGGGGAGGAGATCTTAATTTGTTTAAGCAGCAAAATGAATTTGCTCAGTTACATCAAAGCACAGCTTCTGAAAAAGCTTCTCTTCTGTAAAGTTTAATGGCTTAAGAGTTTTGAGTGTTCTTCTGTGGTAAGAAACCATATAAAAAACAAAACAAATAAATCTGCTTTGTTTGCATCTTCTGTTGGAGCCATTTTCCTTGGTCGCTGAGGTCTCCTAGACTTGCAGATCAATGGGCAGCCTTGCAGACTGAGCTGGGTACCAGTTTGGCCTCTGCTGCCAGTCGGGGCTCAATATCCAAGTCCCCCTCACCTAGCCCGGCTGCCAGTTGTAGGGAGAATCCTCCCACCCTTGAGAGTCTTGGTGGAAATAGAGAGAACTGTGCTTCAGCTTCCATTGCTTTGTGAAGTGTCGGCTCTAGAAGAGCCATTGCCTGATGCTCCGTGTGTTGGATAAGGTCCAAAGTGTAATTAAATGTCCTAACCTCCTCCCCTGGCCTTGCGTATGCTCACATGTGTGGACACGCTCTTTCTTGTTGGAGGATCTGGTGTGAGACGGGGTTGGAAGAAGTTGCTTCTGTGTGTGGATGGCAGAGGCTCGGGGCAAGCCTTGAAGAGCTTTGCTTGGGCCCCTCCACATCTGGCCTCTCCTCAGCAAAGTTTCTCCTTGAGAAGTGTCATTTTTCTTTGATTTTTTGACTATCACAGTAGCCAAGAAACAAGACCATTGCTGGGTGTTGAAGCAGTGCTGCCCTGTGCTGGCGCAGAGATATGCAGGGCGAGTGACCCTAATGTGCTTTGTACGGTAGCTCGTAGCATCTGCTTTTCCACAGAGATGTCTTTTGTCCTTTACGTGTGCATCTAATGAATATTTTTGAGAATATTAGCTATCATTAAATGGTTCACAAAGTATCTGTCTTTCACCCATAGTGAAGGAGAATTTGGACATAATAATGCTTTCTGAAATCAGTTTATCTCTGTGAATCTGTGTAGAATTTAAATGGACATTTTTGCTTAACCTACAGTCTTTCAACTGGAAAAGATGAATTACAGAGAGATGTTGAGCCCCTCAATGAGGAGAATTTCATTCTATATTTAGAGATCTCTTTTATTTATTATTTTATTTTCCTGCAATGTAACATAGTAGTGGTGACTAGGGAAGATCTGCCACCACGCTCCCCTTCTCCTGCTGGCATTTTTGTCCCTTCTCCCCTTCCTCCTGTAGCTAGCTCACCTCCTGCCAGTGCTGGAGTCTTTCGGCAGTGTTTTTGAGGTGGCGGGCAGCCCCTCTTCAGATGATTCAGCAGTTGTGATTGCCAGTGCCTGCCTTGGGAAGATTCCACGTGTATGTTGTTCCTATGCTAAGAAATCTTCTCCAGTCATTAATGGAAAGGCTCCATTTTACCCAGTCTCTCTAGTCACCGCCTCTTTCTTTTTCCTCTCTCCTTGTTTTCTGACTAAATGTATTCTTCTCTTACGGGTCTTGTACCCTCCATCTCTTTATAGGTAATTAATCTTCCTCCCTCCCTGTGATTATTAGTTTCTTGCTAAGTAATATGATAATAATGTTGCTGTAACAAAGCCAGAATTTTATACTGCAAGCTTTCGCTCTGTGGGGTCTGATCTTTCATTTTTCTTCCAGGTGTAAGGGGGGGAGATGCTGTAGAGTCACTGGTGCCACAGAGCCTCTCTAGTTCCGAGACATAACCTTGTCAGGATAGAGCATAGCATCCAGTTTTTACTCTTTCATGAGTCACTCTCTTTTGATCCTTAATCGTTTTATTCCTCTTGACTGAAATCCCTCCAATTTTTTCTATGTAATCTAATTAATGAGATAGCATCATTCTTCTGACAGAGGCTCCAGACATCTTATTTTATTGCACAGCTTTAACATATAAGCCTCAGCTGATTATGGGAACTCGACACATGCAACAGCACTGGTTTGCTGTTCAGGGGTCTGAGCATTGGGTTTCTTACACGATTGTTCTTTTCCTTGTCCTTTCATTGCAAGACAGGCTTGTCCTGTTTCTCTTTCATTTGACATGAGCTGCTGAATCCTGAAGAAACAAAACTTTTCTGCTGAGGTCCAGTCTCATTCTGTAATTGGATGGGACGGTTTTAAGAACAGCAGAGATTGCTTGCTTGACATCATCTAGGGGGGACCCTCAAAATCTGGAAAGTTAAAAAATTGAACAAATTCTAAGTGCTTTTCTTTCCTGCCTGATTCCAGGTCTGATGCAATTTAGTTGCCATTGTGTTTCCTAACATATATTTTTTATGTAGAGAAGAAGGCTTAAGACTTGTTACTCCTGTTACTGCAGGTCTGCACCTGCCCTACTGGGGCTGGCTGTGCTGTTGCCAAATCACGTGGGCGTGATGTCACCAAACAAGAGAAACAGATAGTATTTGCACTGGTTTGCAGCAGAGAGCTTTAGCTGCACGTTTTGGAATTTGTGGTGCTGGTTGCTTAGTGAGATGGGGTTGACTCAGAGGCTGTAGTTCCCAAAGGACACCTTCTTGTCCCCTCTTCCTCTCCTTTCCTCACTAGTCCTCTTTGCAAATGGGCAGTGACAGCCCTGTGCCCTGGGGTTGGACTATTGTAGTCCCATTCAGCAGATTTCTGAGTACAGAGCAGGATTTCTGGGTACAATAAAGCACTTGGACTCTGGATTTTTCCTGAGGGGTCATTTGCTTTTGTTTGAGCCGTGGTGTATGTTAGGTGAGAGAGGCAGGTCTTCGCTTTTCCTTGCTGGACCACACTTTCAACCATTGGTTCCTAATTTGCCCTTATTTAAATAGAGTGTGTGATTTAGATGTGTGTATATAAAAATGTGTCCATCCTTGTTCATATCCTAAAGATTTTGATGAGACTGTGGCTGTTTTGCTTGCAGGCCTTACATGTCAAAAGTGCAGTCTTGTGCTTCAGCTGGAAACCTCCTCCTCCCTTATCACAACACTAAGTACCAACAGATGGAAATGGAAAATCTGGAGTATCTCCAGGAAATAAATTGCTCTCTGCTCAGAAATATGTGCTTTCGCTGTGCCTTTTAACAGATTTTGTTTAAGTTCTATGTGTTTTATTCTTCCTTAATGTCCTAATCGGCTTACACTGATTCTAATGTTTCTTGATTTCAGTCCCTTTGAGCTATGATGGTGGCAGGAAGGGAACTGTCTAAATGACTCTATCCCTTCTGCTATAGCTTTTCCAGGCCGTGCTGCAGTAACGCAAAAGGACAGAGGTTAAAAATGCTGCCTGCGATTTTTGAAGTAGTGTCATAGGTTTAACTTTTTTTTCTTTCTATTGAAAAGCACTTCAAAGTGAAATCGGTGTTGAATAATCGGTAGCTCGTTGTTATCCTCCTGAGTCAGGTGATCTTATTCCTCTGGTTCCTGCCAGTGGACAAGCTTTTCTAAGCAGCCTGGAAGGCTGAGATGAGAGGAGCATAAACAGTGTTAATAATTGCTTTTCTTAAATGGGAAGATATATTCTAATGATATGGCATTGGCAGGCATGATACCCATTGCTTGCCTGTCTTATTGGATTGAGTTGGTGAGCTTATTAGTTCTAGCTTTGTGGAAGGTGTGTTGTTGAAATTTCTTAGGCTTCTTCCCCTTCATTGGTCCTCAAACCCAAAAGTAGGTGAACGACTCCCCTCTGCTGCACTGTTACTGTGTGCAGGTTGGTTTTGTGTGTCCTGCTACTGAATCAGTCAAAATTAATGTAAAAGGAACATTGTCTCTCTTTCAATACCCAGAGACCAAGGTGCTTTTTCCTGTTTATCCTGTCCTGTTGGCTCAAAAGGGCTGAAAGTAATGTGCCCTAAGAGTTTCTGAGATGAGGAAATCCAGATGACATAAATGTGTGGTCAATAGTCTAGTGCTTTACTTAAATTTTTGTACATAATTTAAAAACCCTACTCCTCTTGAGCACTTCTTGCTGTTTTGGCTACTGAAACCATAAATGGTTGGAAGCTGCACGTGCTCCTAAAACTATCTCACTTTATCATTATGAAGCTTAATGAAAATGTTCTCTTTGCAGCTACAGCATGGCCAGGAGTGATTGTTTTGAGTGCAGGTTTATCCAGCTGTGAATAAAAGTCCAGCTAGTGATCTGGTCTTCACTACCATTTTGCAAGTCTGTAATATTGAGATGGCCATTAACTTTAATCAAGAAATAAACATGTGAGACAAGCTGAACTGTGCCTCGCTCCCGAGCCTGCCATTTTCCACAATGTGTAATGTGAGTTTGAAGCACAGAGCTTATTTTCTTCTTGCCTCATTAAAGGCCTTCTGTTGTTATCCTTAAGCATTACATATTTTGTACTGTGACTTGAGAGCCTGTTTTTCTGCCTCTTTCTCCTCTCATCAAGTGAACCAAAAGGATGCATGTGAACTCTTGCATGGGGCAAATCTCAATAGCTGCAGTATATTTAGATATAGAGCTCGTTGGTGAGAGAGATACAGAGGCTTTAATGATGTATTTTCCAAAATCAAAGTGCATCAAATATACTAATGCCCTAATAAGTATCCTACGTAAAGA